CCCCACCACCAACTGCTGGAGATGCACATTATGCTATTGTGAGCCACAAATGGATTTCTTTCCTTTTTACCCTTTTCAGTTCCACAAGCATGTGTCGTTTTTTTCCTTCTGACATCTCCCTCCACATTGCTACTGTCTTAGGCATCTACAAGATTCCACAGGTATAGTAAGTGTGGGGGCTGTGAAGATTTTCTGCCTCTGGTACAATAGTTATCGTCTGGGTTCTCCATGCTTTCTTTTACTTTGGCTCATTTTTCAGAAAAAGGAGGTGAAAGATAAAAATATAACCTTTTTTTTCTTTTCTAAAAGGTTTCACAAAAATTCGTCAGCATATCAGTGTCCATTTCTCTCATTTTTGTAAGCAGTTCTGGATAATCCACAGATTTCCCAGCCGTTTCTCCTAATGTAATATAATTTTGGATTTCATTTTCACTAATGTATGCACTTTTGCAACCAGTGTGATTTGAATATAAATCTTTGCTTTTGGTTGGGGAAGTGAATTGCAAATTTCAGAGAAGTACAAATGTCAGAGGATAGCTGCATTTTGGCTCACAAATTGTTGCAGGAATTCTGAATCAGGAGATTTTTAAAATTATTAATATGTTAATTGAACAGAATTCCTCTCCTAACCCTAGTTGTGTCTCATCACAAAGTTCAAACTAAGCAAGGGAAATGCTTGTCCTGATTATGCCCTCTAGCCCTGACCACTTTTGCTCAATGGTCAAGGAGTCCAGGAAGTTCTGGAGAGCCATACGTTTCCCCCTCATGAAATATACGACAATGTCCAAGTACAAAAGAGTTTCTGAACAGACAATCCCTCCACAGTTAAGTTGAGCAGTGCTTCTTTCTTCCCAACTAACAATACCTGTGGGTATAGGTCCAGATCTTGCATTATTTTAGTGGTGCACATCACCGCAAAGTATAGGAAAACTTGATGCCTTTATTTATAACCGTTTGCTCTAGCTCTCCAATTCTTGTGAGATTGGTTTCTTCCTCCAGATTGCTTACTGTGTATTAGCTCCAGTGAGAAGCCTGGAGTTGCAGCCCCAGACATTCTACCGAACGGTGCCCAATGAGAAATATCAATATGCAGGGATTGTCATGCTACTTCTACATTTCCAGTGGTCATGGGTAGGAATTGTGGCATCCAATGATGAAAATGGAGAGAGCTTTATGCAAAGCTTAGTGCCAATGCTTTCCCAGCATGGAGTCTGCACAGCTTTCAGTGAAAAACTACCAGCCTTATCTCAGGGTCTAGATAATTTCAGTTTCTTGGAACGCGTTCGGGCCAAGTCCTCTTTCCTGGTGGCCTCAGAAGTCAACATATTGGTTCTGTGTGCAGAACCTGAGACCATTACAGTTGTGAAATGGATGCAATATTTCTATTCAGTAGCTGAAGATGTTGCAGACAAGTCTACAGGCACCGTGTGGGTTTTGACAGCCCAGTGGGCTTTCTCTTCAGAAACAATGCAAAGGTATTACGATATACAAGTCTTTGATGGTGCCTTGTCTTTTGCAATTCACACAGAGAAAGTCCAGGGATTTAAAGAATTCCTTCAGACCCTGAACCCCAACTCTCCAAAGGAGATGGGTTCCTCCAGGCTTTTGGCAACAGGCATTCAACTGTTTATTTTCTGCTTCCAATGGGCACAAGGAAAACACAAAGACCTGCACTGGCCATGAGAGTCTGGAGAGCCTTCCTGGGCATATTTTTGAAATGACCATGACTGGCCAAAGTTACAGTATCTATAATGCGGTTTATGCCATTGCACATACTTTACATCAGATGCACTCATCCAGGTCAAAATGCAGAATGATGGCAGGCAGAGGTGGGCTCGATCCTCCAAAACTGCAACCTTGGCAGGTAAGATTTCCTGTTCAGAATAAACCTTTGCAAAGTTGAGCAAGAGAAATGAGAATTATGAAAAATTAAGAATTTGCTAGAAATACTTTTGTGTTTCAAATGTTGTAGACTGCACAATTTTTAACTACTTTCCATTGTGTGAAATATATTGATAGATATTTCTCCTTTGTAAAATCAATAAAAGTCTCATTTTTAAAACTTTGCCTTTGTTTTCGTCTGCCTAGCTGCACTCGTTCTTGAGGAGTATCTCCTTCAACAACAGTGCTGGTGACTTAGTGTCCTTTGATGAGAATGGGGAGTTAGCAGGTGGATTTGATATTATTAACTGGGTTACTTTTCCAAACCAAACCTTCTCCCGAGTGAAAGTTGGAAAGATAGTTCCACAAGATTCACAAAACGTAGACTTCAGTATGGATGAGGAAGCCATCACATGGCACAGATCTTTTAATCAGGTGGGACCATTGGATTTTTAAAAATGAGATATTATTATTAAGAATACAAATAATAAGGTTAATGTAGATATTCTTTATCATTAATTAGCAAATTGTTTAAGTATAACCCATGTTATTTTACCATTGCACATGAGGTGAGAAGTAGATATTTTCTTCTTTAGAGTTCTGGTTTGAAAGTATATAATGGTAATATATTACACTGTATTGCATATGGAATATTGTTGACTACCATCTCCCATCCTCCCTGATCACTGGCCAGGCTGGTTTTCAGACTGATGAGAGTTACAGTCCAATACCATCTGGTGGACCAATGCTTCCACATCCCTGATATATAGGATTTCAAAACATTTCAATGCGTTGCACATTTATGTACGAGTAAATCATGCTGAACCAAGTGAGATTTACAGCTCAGAAGACAAGGACAGGATAAGTTACCCATTTGTTTTGAAAGAAGATTGATGGTCTTGTGGAGCTTCCTATGTTACCTTCTTTTTTAACTCCCTGTATTTCAAATTCTGGGGAAACAGGTGGCGCTGTGGGTTAAACCACAGAGCCTAGGACTTGCCGGTCAGAAGGTCGGCACTTCGGGTATGAAATTTACGGCTTGTAATGCCTTAAGAGAAAATATAATGAAAATGATTTATAGGTGGTACTTAACCCCAGTCAAGCTAGCAAAAATCTATCATTTGCCTGATAATAAATGTTAGAAATGTAAAGGAAATGAAGGTACTTTTTTTCACCTTTGGTGGACGTGCCCAAAGATCAAGGCCTTCTGGGAAATGATATATAATGAATTAAAAAAGGTATTGAAATATACTTTCTTGAAGAAACCAGAGGCCTTCCTCTTGGGCATGGTCGGCCAATTGGTGCGAAGGGAAGATAGAAATTTTTTTATGTATGCGACAGCAGCAGCAAGAATTCTTATTGGGAAATACTGGAAGACACAAGAATTGCCTACCCGAGAAGAATGGCAGATGAAAGTGATGGACTATATGGAACTGGCTGAGATGACCGGCAGAATTCGAGACCAGGAAGAAGGGTCGATGGAAGAAGATTGGAAAAAATTTAAAATATATCTTCAGAAATACTGCAATATAAAAGAATGTTAGAAAGAGTTTGGAAAAGAATATTAGGCCGTTTTGGCAGATATGGTATAATTGAGTAAGTAAAAATGAAGTGTAAAATGAGGATAGAGGAGGATTAAATATTATCAAATGTTAAAACAAGTAAAAGAAAAGAAGGTTAGAAGGATTTGCTGGAGATACGATCCAAACTAGAATACAAAGCAGGGAGGTGAGAGGAAGTCATGGAAATAAGTAAAAGGGAAAAAGGTTGTAAAGGTTTAATTTGATTTTTGTCATACTTTATTGTAATGTATTTTTATTTTTTGTTGAGTTTTTCTTATTGTCTGTTTTTTGTAACATGTTATATATTTTTTTCTGTATGGTTTTTTCTTTCTTTCTGTAACTTTAAAATTGGAATAAATATTCTTTAAAAAAAAAAACAGAAGGTCGGCACTTCGAATCCCCATGACGGGGTGAGCTCCCGTTGCTCGGTCCCTGCTCCTGCCAACCTAGCAGTTCGAAAGCACTCAAAGTGCAAGTAGATAAACAGGTAAGGTAAACGGCCTTTCCATGTGCTGCTCTGCTTTGCCAGAAGTGGCTTAGTCATGCTGGCCACATGACCCGGAAGCTGTACGCCGGCTCCCTTGGCCAATAAAGTGAGATGAGCGCCACAACCCCAGAGTCAACCACGACTGGACCTAATGGTCAGGGGTCCCTTTACCTTTACCTTTACCTATTTCAAATTCTGTTGTCTTATCTGTCCTCTCTCTATCCTTCATCTTTATGTAAATGAAAAATTCAATATTCCTTCTCATTCACTCCCAATATTTACATTACAGTTTATCTACACATACAACATGCCTTTCTGGAATAATGTTAATCACTTAGCTGATCTCTTCTCTTTGGTTAAAACTGTGTTGTTCACAAGGCACAAGAGAGCTACATTTTCTCCTTTTTTATGGCTAGGTGCTGCCCCTTGCCTTGTGTAATGATCACTGCCAACCAGGCTACAGCAGGAAAAAGAAGGAAGGGTTGCCATTTTGTTGCTATGATTGTGCTTCGTGTC